AAGGGGTGGGGTCCTGAGGGAAGCGGGTCCTGGGCTCCTTGCCTCTACCCAGGGCCAGCTGCTTTTCGACCGTCCCGGGGACCGTTGAGGGCCCTGGGGGCACGAACGCCGTGGGCAAAGCTCCACGATCCGTTTCCATCTGGGCTCACGGCGTCTAGACGGGCCCATGGTTCCATACTCGGAAGCCGGGCATGGGCTGCTAAGTCCGTGGCTGCTAACATCGACCTCTGGGAAGTTTCTTCGTCCGTCCGGGAAGAAGCCCGTTGACTGTTTCGCGTGCCGCTCCTCATTCCGGGAAGGTGTTTTTTCCTTCCGGGAGGGCCGTTTTAGCAGCCACGGTTTTAGCAGACTTCGCCCAGCTTTCGACATCCCCCCTCCAACCCATCGGGCAGATCGCAGATCGGGACGTGCACTCACGCCCCCTCCCCTGCCTCCCCGCCCGCTCTGCCAGGCAGGAGCGGAGAAGAACCCGGATGATCTGTGCCTCTCTCCTCCCCCCATCCACTTTCTTTCCTCGTCGTCCTCCTCCCCCTCGCTCCTCCCCATTCTTCCTCCTCCTCCTCGCTTCTCCTCCTCCTCCTCCTCCTCCTCCTCCACCTCCTCCTCCTCCTCCTCCTCCTCCTCCTCCTCCTCCTCCTCCTCCTCCTCCCCTCCTCGCTTCTCCCCCTCCTTCCTCCTCCTCCTCCTCCTCCTCCTCCCCTCCTCTTCCCCCCCCTCCCCCGTCGGTCGCCGCAGCGGCTCAGGCACCCTCGTCCTGCGAGGCCCTTCCCGCGGCAGGGGACCGAGGCGCCTCGACGGGGGCCCGAGCTCTGTCCCGCGGGGTCTGCCGGCCGCCTCCGGGGGGGGCGGGCGGGCGGCTCGCCGAGTGCTCGCCTCGCCGGTCTCCCTCGCGTGGCGCACGGCCACGCGTGCCCCGAGCAGAGGAGGCAGGCCTCCGGCCAGAGCACGCGCTGTCCACCCCACGTCTCCTGCGGGGCCCCGGAGGGCCGACGGCACTGCGGAGGAGCCCGGGAGCACAGGCACAACTGCTTCTCTCCGAGGAGCTGCGAGGGGAACGGGGCCGTGACGACGCATACGCCTTGCGTCGCCACCCGGAGCATTGGGAGCTGTCCTTCGGCTGCCCTTCGCATGGCTGATCTTGCGCAAGCCCTCTACGCCCACGCGCAGTCCTGCGCATCCCTTGCGCACCCCTGCACACTCTGGCACAGTCCTGCGCAGTCCTGGCACGACCAAAACCGCTCCTGTACGCTTTGGACCCCGGCCTTTGTCCATGCTCGGCTCTGCAGGCTCTGGCGCAATTCCAGACCACTTCTGCGCTGCCCATGCGTTGTCCTGCACAGCCCTTGTGCCCTTTGCGCAGTCCTGGGGTGTCCCTGAATCCTGCACGCTACGCGTTAGCAAACCCCTGCAAGCACTCTAGGTTGTATGGCAGAGCCGCTGGGTTTTCATATGCTAGTCGCACAAAGCAAGCACATGTCAATTCATAGCGCAAACGTGAGGATCAGACGTGTTGAATGACACTCTCTTCATATAGTAAGATCTGCCGCACAACGTGTGGAACATGTCTCAAGCTTGTACTGCTAAACATTATGGTGAATGTGGAACGGGATACGCTTTTTATGTCTTCTCTCATGTGCCACTTTCAACTGGCCAGACCAGGCACCTCATGTGATGCCAGGCCACGACTCGAGTAGGGAGTCGTTGTCTACGATGATGATGCTGATGAGGATGAGGATGAGGATGATAATGAGGATGAGTATGGTTTAGATGATGATGATGATGATGCTGATGATCATGATCATGATCATGACCATAACCATGATGATGATGATGCTGATGATGATGATCATGCTGATGATGATGATGAAGAATATGATGATGATGATGATGATGATGATGATGATGATGATGATGATGATGATGATGATGATGATGATGATGATGATGATGATGATGATTATGATGATACTGGTGATGATGATGCTGGTGATGATGGATATGGTGATGGTGATGATGATGGTGAAGGTGGTGGTTGTGGTGATAATGATCCTTATGACGATGCTCGTGGTGACGCTGATGATGACTATGGTAGTGCTGACGACGTTGATCATGATCATGGTGAGGACGTATACGGCGATGATGATGGAGATGGTCATGATGATGATGTATCATGCTGATGGCGATGATCATGATGATGAGGACGTTTATTGAGACGATGACTGCGATGATGTTGATGGTGGTGATGATGATGAAGATGATGATGATGCTCATAATGACGATGACCTTAGTGTTGATGTTGACGATGAGGAGGAGGTCGACGTTGGTGACTTTGCTGATGACGATGCTGAGTCTACTGATGATACTGATGATGGTTGTGCTGATGGTGATTTTGATGCCGCTGCTGATGATAATGATGGTTGCCGATGATAATTGTGTTGCACATGCTGATGATGATGCTCATACTGATGATGATGATGATGACGATGATGCTGATGATGATGATGCTGATGAGGATGGTGGTGATTATGATGACCATGCTGATGATGCTGGTGCTGCTGAGGATGACTATGGCGGTGGTGGTGATGATGATTCTGATTATGATGGTGATGACGATGATGATGATGATGATCATGGTGATGGTGCTGGTGATGCTAATGGTGCTGCAGCTGATGATGATGGCGAGGATGATGCTTATGATGAGTATGATGATGACGATGATGCTGATGCTGATGATGATGCTGATGATGATGGTGATAATTATGATTATGATGATGATGGTGAGGATGATGGCTATGATGAGTATGATGATGACGATGATGATGAGGCTGATGATGACCATGGTGATGATGATACCTGATAATGTTTGATTATGGTGATGCTGCTGATGATGCTGATGCTGATGATGGTCATGCTGATGCCGATGATGATGATGATGATGATGATGATGATGATGAGGATGAGGAGGTGAGGATGAGGATGAGGAGGATGATGATGATGCTGATGCTGATGATGATGATGATGATGAGGAGGAGGAGGATGAGGATATGAGGATGAGGATGAGGAGGATGCTGATGATGTGATGCTGATGATGATGATGTTGATGATTGCTGTGATGATGATGATGATGATGATGATGATGATGATGATGATGATGATGATGATGATGCTGATGATGATGATGATGAGGATGATGAGGATGATGAGGACGAACAAGTGGAGGATGAGGAGGAGGAGGAGGAGGAGGAGGAGGAGGAGGACGACGACCAGCAGCAGGATCAGGTGCGGGAGCTGAAGCCTTTACGGATGGGCTAGGGCAATCCCAGGTCAGTGCTCTCTACGTGCCAAGCGGTTCGCGCATACTTGGCAAGCACGCGAGACATCCCATTTCTCCGTTCTCATTATGATGCCATTTCAAACCCTCCTTGATTATTTGTGCATCGGCGTTGATCCGTCTTCGGACCTAGTCCTTCCCCCCGCCCAGGCCGACGATGCTGTTCTTTTTGCAAAACGAGTGGGGTGATTGGGAAATCTACCGAGAAGGTGGGGGACGAGGAGGAGGGAGGAGTGAGGAGGGGAGGAGGGGGGGAGGGGGGATGAGGAAGGGGGAGGAGGGAGGACAAGGAGGAGGGAGGAGGGAGGAAGACGAGGAGGAGGGAGGAGGAGCAGGAAGGGGGAGGGAGGAGGAGGGAGGAGAGAGGAGGGAGGAGGGAGAAGAGGAGAAGAGGAGGAGGGAGGAGGACGATGAGGAGGGAGGAGGGGAGGACGAGGCGAGGACGAGGGGGGCCCGTGCCCCCCGAGGACAAGCTGCGCGTGCCCGAGCAGGAGTTCCGGTCCTGGCGGCTGGTCCGCTGCAGCAGCAGGCGCGGCGCCTGCGCGGCGCCCCGCTGGCCGGCTGGGACCGGTCGATCGATCTGCATGTGGTCGTCGGTGAGGGTCGATTCAAACGACGCGAAGATCGGGACAAAATCTGATCGGGATAACTCGAAATCTCTGAGAATCGGCGGGTTTGGAGGATGTATTGGGCGCCGCGGCCGCTCCGGAGCGTTCCGGAACGCTCTGAGAGCTCTCCGGAACGCTCTGGAGCGATTTATCCCGATCTTAGCCCTGTTCTAAAACCTTCAGCTTGCGTTGGTTACAAAAGGATCCCACTTGTCGCGGCACGGTGTCCCAGTTCCCCCTTCCTCCTCTCAAGAGTTGCATGTGTCAATCTCCTTCTTTTTTCTCATGTTCCCCCTCGTTGTTCGGAGGGGAGGGATCCTTCTCCACCGAGGCGAGTCCAACAGGATCCCTCTTTTATGGCGGAGTCCAAAAGGACTCTTTTTTGTGCTGGTTGCAAAAGGGATTCCTTTTGTCGATTCCTGATGTGGCACCTTACAAAGGATTCCTACTGCCGCGCGTTGCAAGAATGATTTTTTAGTGGATCACCAAAGTCTGTGGAAATTGCAGAAGGATTCCTTCTTGTAGCCGCTTCTCAAACATGCTTTTTGTAATGCTGGAGACGCAGTGCTGGGGCAGTGGCCCTGCGGTCAGCACGATCCTCTCACATCAAGACATCCCACAACGCCGCACAACAGACAACACAACAGTCGAGAACATCATGCGCCCCACACAACGCCCCCCCACAATCCCTCGTACTCTGAACAATCCATGTGGGGCATCGCGTTCCCCGAGAAGCTGTCGAGAGGTACGGGGTCCACGCGATGTAAACAGCAAGCGTCGGAGGCTTGGGCAACTTGGAGCACCCTCAGGGGGCTTGCTTCGGCCCCCGGAGTAAGAACAATCAGCAGCGCGAACCCGTCCGAAGATGGGACTGCCAGCCTAAATGTTTAGTCGGGGACTTCCAGCAGTTGAGCTCGTTCAAGGAGGGCCCATGCCGTCAAGGCAGGAACCTGCTGTGCCTTCCGACAGTTCCCTTTGTTGCCACATTTGCGTTTTCACTTCTCTTGTAAGAAGTGTGTGTGTGTGTGTGTTTTCGCTTCTCTTGTTAGAGGTGTGTGCTGTTTGGCCGAAGTTTGGTTCGAACTACTTCGTCAGGCTGCTACTGGCTCGATCCGGCATTCTGACCTGCTACGTCCGACCAAGCCGTGCGGGCAACATGCTGCGCGTCGCGGCCGCCTCGGCGTCTCTGCTCACGCTCTCTCAGGCACGCCGCCCCCTGTCTGAAGTGGAGACGCTCTTCGGAGCGTTCAAGGCCCAGTTCTCCAAGGAGTACGAGGCCATGGAGCACAAGGCGCGTCTCGAGGCGTTCGCGGACAATCTCGAGTTCATTGAGAGCGAGAACGGGAAGGGCCTCAGTTACACGCTGGGCCTCAACCATTTCGCGGACATGACCAGCGAGGAGTTTGCGATGAGCTACATGGGGTACAAGCCCTCGAAGAAGCCCTGGGGTGGGCTCCCGTACCTGGGCAGCCATGAGGTTGGCAACGAGACGCTGCCGGACTCCGTCGACTGGACCCAGAAGGGAGCCGTGACTGCAGCAAAGAACCAGGGCCAGTGCGGTTCTCAGGGCCCGAAATATGACCCCAATTCTCAGGTAGCCACGACCTATAGATGTATATATGTATAGATATGTGTATATATGCATGCATGTCTGTCTGTCTGTCCGTCTGTCTGTCTGTCTTTCTGAATGTATGCATGCATGCGAGTGTATGTATGTATGTATGTATGAATGAAAGCATGCATGTGTGTGTATGTATGTATTTATGTATGTGTGTATGTATGTATGTATGTATGTATGTATGTATGTATGTATGTATGTATGTATGTATGCATGCATGCATGCATGCATGCATGCATGCATGCATGCATGCATGTATGTATGTATGTATGTATGTATGTGTGTGTGTATGTATGATTGTATTGACTGTATGTATGTATGCATACATGCATGTATGTATGTATGTATGTATGTTTGTGTGTGTATGTGTGTATGTATGTATGCATGCATGCATGACTGTATGTAATGTAATGCCATGTCATGTACTGTACTGTAATGTAAGGCACTATAATGTATGTAATGTATGTAATTCATGTAGTGTATGGGATGTATATAGTGTATGTATTTCTGAATGTATGCATGTATGTGTGCATGTGTGCATGTAAGTATGTGTGTATGCATGTATGTACCCATGCATGCATGCATGCATGCAGACAGACAGACAGGCAGACAGGCAGGCATGCATGCATGCATGCATTCATGCAGGCAGGCAGGCAGGCAGGCAGGTAGGTAGGTCGTTAGGTCGCCAGGTAGGTAGGTAGGTAGGTAGGTAGGTAGGTAGGTAGGTTGGTGTACGTACGTATGTATGTGTGCATGCATGCATGCATGCACGCATGTGTGTATGTACCTGTAGATTTACGCATACACATATATATATATATATATATATATATAGTATCATGCGCACCTATCCGAGGGAGTAAAGCTCAGAGGCGATTGATGCGTACGCGGGGCGCCGCGTTCGCGATGTTTCTGGCCGTTTCGCTAGGGACATCCTCGAAATTCTAAAAATCGGTGGCACCCCTCACGCAGATCGTGACGTCAGGGTTCAGAAACACATGGGAATTTCAACATGTTAGCATACATCCTTCCAAAACACATGGTAATTTCAATACTTTTGACCCCGATTCTCAGAGAATGGGAGTTTCGCCTGAAACATCCTTCCAAAGTCGAGCCCCGACGTACCCTCTGGTACCCCAGACCCCGCCTCGGAGCCTCCTGGGGGCCTCCTGGAACCTCCTGGGGCTTCCTGAGGCGTTCTGAACCTTCTGGTACCCCAGACTCCGCCTCGGAGCCTCCTGCGGGTCTCCTGAAACCTCCAGGGGCCTCCTGGGGCCTCCTGTGGCCTCCTGGAGCCTCTTGGGGCGCCTCCTGAAGCCTCCTGGGGTCTCCTGGGGCCTCCTGAGGCCGCCTGGGGCCTCCTGGGGCCTCCTGGGGCCTCAGAACTGCATGCACACACAGAGACACAAATCACGCCCAACACATCACACGCTAGACAAACATAACACACACAACACCTACAACGCACAAAAAGCACGCACAACACAGAGCACACATCACACACACACACAACACTCACAATCCTGGAGCCTCCTGGAGCCTCTTCTGGTATCCAAGTCGGGCCTCCTGAGGCTTCCTGGGGGGCCCTGGTACACACATCGCAAGGTGTGGCAACCCCACTTGCGCTCGAGTGCGACTTCGCTGTTGGATTTCACTCCTGCTTCAAACGCCCCTTCAGTTTTTTGGTATGAGCCTGGGCACACACGTGCCACTTGTGTGTATACATATATATATATGTATATATGTATATATATGTATGTCTAGATATGTATGTCTGTATGTATGTATGTATGTATGTATGTATGTACATACAGTATGTATGTATGTATGTATGTATGTATGTAGGTAGGTAGGTAGGTAGGTAGGTAGGTAGGTAGGTAGGTAGGTATGTATGTATGTATGTATATATATATGTATATATATATATTCCTATCCAAATATTTTTACAAGGCCGGGGACCCCGGAAAAGCGGCACACGGTGCCCCCCCCCCGCAAACGAATTTCGGCCTCCCCGAGCCTTTTGGGCGCTCCTGCAGAGTGCTCCGTGTGTCCTGCGAGTGCGACGCGAAAAAAAAAGCCCCCACGACGGCCAAAGAGGGCCCCGAGACACCCAAAGATCGGCCCAAGACTCCCAATTTGGGCCCAAGACTGCCCAAGACGCGTCCAAGACGCCCCCAGAGACACCCAAGAGGCCTCCCAAGAGAGTCCCGAGAGGCTACAATTGTTGATTTTCCTGTGTGTGTGTGTTTCCGATGTTTTTGGCCTTCTCGCTTTCCCCCGCTTTTCGACGCTCCACAATGGCCCAAGAGGCTCCCTAGATCGCCCCAATACTGCCCACGAGGCCCCCAATAAGGCCCCGACACGGTCCAGGAGGGCTCCGAGACCGCCCAAGAGGCGCCCAAGACGGCCCACGAGAGCACCAAGACGGCCCCAAGAGAGACCCAAGAGGGCGCCCAAAAATTCAAAAACTAAATTTTCCGCCGCGGGAGGGCCCCCCAAGAGGCCCGGAGAGAGCCCCATGAGGCCCCAAGAGGCCCCCAAGAGGCCCCAAGGAGCCCCCAAGAGGCCCCCAATAGGCCCCAAAAAGATCCCCAGAACCCCAAAACACCCCCAAGAAGCTTCAAAACTGCCTCCCAGAGGGCCCCGAGAGGCGCACCACGAGATCCCAATACAGCGGTCTCCCCCTCTCATTATCCCTTCTCTTTGTCGTCGCTTTCTTCGTCGTCGTCGTTGTCGTATCAAATGGCGCAGCGAGGCCATTTTTCGTTCAAACCACCGAAGGACCCAAGAGCTCCTCCTCCTCTTCCTCATTCTCTTCCTCTTCTACCTCCTCATCCTCCTTCTCCTAATTCCCCGTGATGTTTCACGTTCCGCCCCGCCAAAGGTCTAGCAGAAGCAGCTCTCCTCACTCTCCCAAGTCTCTGCTGCGGATTTCTTCCGCGACACCTCGGCTGTACCCCAGATATCCACATAATCTGTCCTCTTCATCCTCTTCCTCCTCTTCATCCTCCTCCTCTTCTTCCTCCTTCCCCTGAGCGGAGGTGCTCGGGCCATTTTCCCTTGGGACGCCCGCGCAACGCTGACCTCGGCGACGCATTGTCCCAGGGTAGTCTGACCGCGTTTGCCTGAGACCCTCGCGCTTTTCAGTGGCGCGATGACATGAGCAACTGGTCAGGCCACTACCGCCTGATATACGCATGCGCATGCGCGCGCATAGTTGCGCTGGCCATTTGAATATGCATGTGCGTAGCCGTACAAACTTATACACGCATGTACATATACGATGCATCCATAGACGCACGTGCGTGCGCATGTGCGCACGCTCGCACTCCGCTAGCGTGCGAATTCCAAAGGACCAAAATGCATGGCGCGCAGCGCCAATGCAGTCTTGTATATATATATATATATATATATACGCGTGCCCCTGGGCTCCGGGCCCAAGGGTCCGCCGTCCCCTCCCCCAGACGAGATGGGCCGGAGGGCCCCGCGGCCTCCCCCTCGATCGGCAGGGGGGGTCGGGGGCGACGAGTGACGCGAGGGCCAGGGCCTCGACGCGCCGCCTCCTCCCGGCAGGCAGAGAGGGGCGCGATGACGACGACGACGACGATGACGGCGGCCCGGAAGACGACGACGACGACGACGACGACGACGACGACGACGACGACGACGACGACGACGACGACGACGACGACAACGGCCAGGAAGACGACGGCGACCTCGACGACGGCGACCAGGAAGACGACGGCGACGACGGCGACGACGACGGCCAGGGGGGACGGCGGCGGCGACGACGACGGCCAGGAAGGCGACGCCCAGTCGACGCCGACCACCACCGTCGTGACGGTCGCGGGACCTTTCTCCTGGTGGCCCCCCCCATCACGGGGGGCGCCGCCGCACCACCCCCCGCCCCTACACCCACACCCTGGCATATATTTATCTAAATGTATATCGGTATTCTTGTACATGTTTTACACATCTATATAGAGACATATCTATATACATCTGTAAACACATATCCATATGTATGTATGTATGTATGTATGTATGTATGTAAGCACGTATGTATGTATGTATGTATGTATATATGTATGTATGTAAGTAAGTATGTACACATTTATGTATGTATGTATGTATGTATGCATGCATAAATGTATGTCTGTATGAATGTAAATATCTTACAAAATTTATGTATGTTATGTATGTATCTGAGTTCTAAGACCTCCGTCTCATTGTATATACATCATAATATGCTATGCAGTGTCCATCAGACTTGGTTTCCAGCAGTGTCTTCTATCTAGCAGTTCATTACTGTCCTCTTGATTCCTTCTAAGTGTTCACCCTACCGACCCCTCCCATAAACACCTATCCTACCCATTTACATATGTATCAGATACATAATACCCCACACCACCCAAAATAAACCCCCCCCCACCCCTCCCCCCCCCACCGCCACACCCCCCCTTCCCACCCGCCACCCCCCCCCCCCCTGGCCGCCCGATTTGCCCCCCCCCCCCCACTCGCAATGCTATACCGCTCCATCGGGCCCCCCCTCCAAACGCGCGATGCCACCCGCCGTGGCGCGGTGCTGACGTGGTCGAAGCGGCGCTGGTGGTTGCCGTCGAGTTCGTCGTGGCGTTTTGTCCGTCGTCGCCGTCGTTGTCGTCGTCGGCGTTGGGTCGGTGTCGTCATCGTGTCGTCGTGTTGGACGTCGTCTCGGTCGTCGTCGTCCTTCGTGTCGTCGTCGTGCAGTCGTCGTCGTTCGTCGTTCGTCGTCGTCATCGCCGTTACCTCTCCTCCTCCTTCCTCCTACTCCTCGTCCTACTATGGGTTCTCACTGACCTTCCTCCTCCTCCTCCTCCTCCTCCTCCTCCTCCTCCTCCTCCTCCTCCTCCTCCTCCTCCTCCACCTCCCCCCCCCGTCCCATCTGGGGGGGGCCCGAGGACCCTGGGACCCATCCCATCTGGGGGGGGGGCCGTGGGCCCAGAGCCCACGGCCATACATGACACTGCCTTGTAACGCCCCTCACAGGAGTAGAAACCAAAGAGATGCGGTTTACTCTGTGGAGCGTCGTGCTGTCCCCTCCTCCTCTTGCGTCAATTCGCCGGAGGTTCACCCCCGATACTGTTGGAGGTTCCTTCCTGCTCCTCCTCCCCCTTCTACCTCCCGCGTAATGGACCACGGGATCTCTTTGGGCCTACTGGGAATCCTGGAGGTCTCCTGGGACCTCCAGGGACTCTCTAGAGTATCCTTTGGCCGCCTCGTTAGGTCTCCTGGTGCCTCCTGCGACGTCCTGGGACTCCCCGCAACGGCCTGGGACCTCCAGGGGAGGCCCTCCTGGGACATCCTGGGTGTTCAGGGTGCTCCCAGGGCCTTCTGGGATCTCCTGGGGCCTCCTGGAACCTCACGGGCCGCCTGGGGCCTCCTGGGACGTCCTGAGGCCTCCTGGGTCCTCCTGCGGCTTCCTGGGGCCTCCGGGGACGTCCTGACGCCTCGTGGCGCCGCCTCACCCCTCTGAGGCCTCGTAGTGTTTCCTGAGTCCTCCCGTAGCCTCCTGGGATCTCTGGTACTCTCCTGGGAGCGCCTACAGTGCTTTTTTTAGTACATGCTCCGCGTGCGGATCATGTATTAAACATGCAGGGATTTAATATGGAAGACAACGATGAGTTCATGCATAACTCTACTCATAAAGTAGTCATGTATTCAACATCCAATATTCTTCAAAATCCCATGTATCAAAAACTGCCCTGTAGGGTCGCCTGATGCCTCCTGGGGCTTCCTGGGACCGGGCTGCCCGGGGCTCCTGCCCCAGGAGATCCTCCCAAGATCTCCAGCGGCGCTCTAACGAATTCGCTCCCGGGTGCGGTCCTCCACGTCGCTACGCAGTTTGGCTTCCCCAGACCGTTCTGGGGGGGCCTTCGGGAAGCCAAGCGCGGGGCCTCAAAAGTGACGACGGTTTCGAGGATGGGAGCCTTCTCGTTGAGAAGGGAGGCTCGGTGAAAGTTGAAACAGTGACGACGTTGTCGCACTTGAGGCCAAAACCGTCCCTGGCATACCGCGGGGCGAATCCCAGTCCTGCACCGTGCGGTGCGATTTGCCCTCCCCCCCGCTGTCCCGCCAGACCCTGGGAGGGTGACCTTTGTGCTGTTGCTGGCGAGGAGCATCTCCCTCGCCCTTTCAGCGCTGACGGAGGGCAGGCGGCGGGGTCGGAGGGTTGGCGGGGTGACGGGGTTGCTGGTTTGGCTGGATGGCAGGTGGCGGTTTGCCGGGAGGATTGGTTAGGATTGGCTTGGTTGCAGGGTGGCTGGTTGGGCTGGCTTGACAGGATGGGTTGGGTTGGGGTTGGCTGGTGGCGGGGTGGCGGGGTGGTTGGTTGGGCTGGGTGTTGGGTGGATGCCTGCAGGGTTGGCTGGATGGCGGGGTGGCTGGTTGGGTTGGCTGGCTGATTGGATGGGTTAGGTTGGCAGGCTGAGCTAGCTAGGGCTGGGTATTATGCCATCTTCTGCGGTGGCAGTACACGCCATTACCCACGCCGGCATGAAGCCATTTTCTTGCACCCTTAGGTTCCTGCTGGGCGTTCTCCACCACGGGGGCGCTCGAGGGTGCGCTTGCCATCGCTAGCGGCAAGCTCGTGTCCTTGAGCGAGCAGCAGCTCGTTGATTGCTCGAAGAAGTTCGGGGAGAATGGCTGCGGAGGGGGCAGCATGGACGGTGGCTTCCAGTACGCGGAGAGCGCTGGCTTTTGCACGGAGGATTCCTACAAGTACAAGGCGAAGAACGGCATTTGCCAGGCCACCAATTGCGACGTTGGCCTGCCGAAGGGCAGCGTTGTCGGCTTCAAGGACGTCAAGACCTTGGACACCGCTTCGCTGATGAGCGCGGTGGCACAGCAGCCAGTGAGCATCGCCATCGAGGCTGACAAAATGGTTTTCCAGCTGTACCGCAGCGGCGTGCTCACTGGAAACTGCGGGACCAAGCTCGACCACGGAGTGCTCGCGGTGGGCTATGGCACGGAGGGCGGGAAGGACTACTGGCTGGTGAAGAACAGCTGGGGGCCCCAGTGGGGCATCAACGGCTACCTGAAGATCCTGCGCGGCGGCGTCGCGAAGGAGGGGGAGTGTGGCATCCAGATGGACCCCTCGTACCCCGTCGTGAAGACGGCGGCCCCGGTGCTGGCCGACCTCCTGGTGTAAGCTGGAGGGGGATGCCTCGGTGGCTGGCGGCATGCCTGCGCGATGTCGCGGCGGCCGCAGCCGCAGTGGGCGCCCGCGGGGGCGCCACGTCTTCGAAGGCCATCTAGAGAATACATGCTGCCGGGCCACATCTAATTCGGAAAAATCCCATATTGTACATAGTATAGTTGCTTGCGCGGGCCAGGGAGCCCGAGAAGAGATGTGCCGCTCCCGGAGGAGCTGGAGGAGGGCCAGATCCGCAGGGCGCTGGCTGCACCAGCACCGTGCCTGGCCAGGACCCTCTGGCCCCGAGGCGGGTGTGCAGACCCTCCTGGCCCCGACCCTTCCGGGGCCAAGGCTGTGAGCGGGAGGACAAATCCGTCCCAGAGCGTCCCTGAACGCACTCAGAGCGTTCCGGAACGCTCTGAGGTGGCCGTTCTGGGGCGGCAAAGAGAGGGGTGATGACTGGGAGGGGAGATTTCATGGCAGGGGCAATAGTGTCTCCTCAGATTTCATGGCGCCCATTCTCATTTCAATGCGTCCCTGGATCCCCCTGGGCCGCGCATATGCGGCCGGCCATGATTTGCGCCCCCCCCTCTTAGACGCCCCCCTCTTGGCCGCCCCCGAGCCGTGGCGCCCGAGACATCCTCCCGAGCCGCCGCATCCTGGAGCTTCTCCATGGATCCCCGCCCGAATCTGGCCTCGTCCTGGCTTCGTCTCACAGGGTTCGGCGCTGGTCGGGCAGGGTGGTGGAGGAGCAGGTGCCTCCTGCGTGCCCGAGGGCCGGCGAGGAGGGAGGCCTCCCTGGGGGGAGCGGATCGGCGCAGTGGCGCTCCGCGAGGGCCCGGCCTCTCTCTCTCTCGGAGCAGAGGCCCGCCCGGAGGCCGCCCTCGCCGATAGCGGGCCGGCTGCGCCGAGGGGCGCGGCGGCCGCAGATCTGCGCTTTTGCTCGCGTGTGTCCAGGCCTCCCACATGGGGGCGGAGCTCGGAGGAGAAGAAGGTCATTACCCATTACCCATGCCGCTGCCCTTCGACCGCTCTCTCCCTTTTGGGGCCTCCTGGGAGGCCCTCGTCGCCACCGCTGGGTTCGCCTCGACGTTCTCGTCGGAGCGCGCCCCGGGAGAGGTCCGGGGAGCAGCAGCATCGGTGCCTTCGGGCCTCCCCCCACGGGGTCGGCGTGTAGAGGGGGATCGGAGGATCGCGCCACATCCCCGATGCGGCTCGATGTGGAGAGGAGGAGGAGGGAGGAGGAGGGAGGAGGAGGAGGAGGAGGAGGAGGAGGAGGAGGAGGAGGAGGAGGAGCCCGATGTTTTCTCCACGCCGATGGCGCCGATGCCTCGCCGACGCGTCGCCGATGCATCGCCGGTGCGGCGCGATGCGTCGGCCCCGGCTGCTCGGGCCCCAGCTCGGAGGCCTCTGTTTTGGGTGGCCCTGTGCGGCCCTGCCGTTCCAGGCCGGCACAGCTCCTGCCCCGGCCGCGCGCAAAAGGGGAGGTCAGATGATGGGCCTGTTCTCCACCACCATACGTTTGTGGGGGATGGTTGCCTCCTCCTCCTCCCCACCCTCCTCCCCCCCCTCCTCCTCCACCTCCACCTCCTCTTCCTCCTCCTCCTCCTCCTCCTCCTCCTCCACCTCCTTCCCCCCTCCAACTTATGGTGGTGGTGGTGGAAAACAGGCCCATCATCAGAGGAAGGGGCGAAGAAGGCTGCCTCAGAGGGCGCGGGCGTGATCGCTTTTTATTCCCAACCCTCCTTGGTCGGGTATTCGTTTTGAAGAAAGCACCGTGGTCGCGTCCCTCCTTCTCCCGCCTCCCGCGTCCTCCTGCCCTCTCTTCGCCGACGATGGGGGCTGCGATCTGCGAAACTGTCGCCACTTTCGAGGGCTGCTGGTGGGTCCAGCGGGGTGAGGTACCGCGCAGATCTGAGCGGGACCTCGCCGTGCCTGGGGGGCTGCAACCTGCGAAACTGTCGCCACATTCGAGGGCTGCTGGTGGGTCCAGCGGAGTGAGGCACCGCGTAGATCTGAGCGGGACCTCGCCGTCCCTGGGGGGCTGCGATCTGCGAAACTGTCGCCACTTTCGAGGGCTGCTGGTGGGTCCAGCGGAGTTAGGCACCGCGCAGATCTGAGCGGGACCTCGCCGTGCCTGGGGGGCTGCAATCTGCGAAATTGTCGCCACATTCGAGGGCTGCTGGTGGGTCCTGCGGAGTGAGGCACCGCGCAGATTTGAGCGGGACCTCGCCGTGCCTGGGGGGCTGCGAATTTGTCGCCATTTTCGAGGGCTGCTGGTGGGTCCTGCGGAGTGAGGCACCGCGCAGATCTGAGCGGGACCTCGCCGTGCCTGGGGGGCTGCAACCTGCGAAACTGTCGCCACATTCGAGGGCTGCTGGTGGGTCCTGCGGAGTGAGGCACCGCGCAGATCTGAGCGGGACCTCGCCGTCCCTGGGGGGCTGCGATCTGCAAAATTGTCGCCACTTTCGAGGGCTGCTGGTGGGTCCTGCGGAGTGAGGCACCGCGCGGATCTGAGCGGGACCTCGCCGTGCCTGGGGGGCTGCGATCTGCGAAATTGTCGCCACTTTCGAGGGCTGCTGGTGGGTCCAGGGGGTGAGTCACCGCGCAGACAGATCTGAGCGGGACCTCGCCGTACCTGGGGGGGCTGCGATCTTCGAAATTGTTCCCACTTTCGAGGGCTGCTGGTGGGTCCAGCGGAGTTAGGCACCGCGCAGATCTGAGCGGGACCTCGCCGTCCCTGGGGGGCTGCGATCTGCGAAACTGTCGCCACTTTCGAGGGTTGCTGGTGGGTCCTGCGGAGTGAGGCACCGCGCAGATCTGAGCGGGACCTCGCCGTCCCTGGGGGCCTGCGAACCCTGCGAACTGTCGCCGACATTCGAGGGCTCCTGTGGGTCCAGCGGAGTGAGGCAACCGCGCGATCCTGAGCGGGAACTCGCCGTGCCTGGGGGGGGCTGCACCTTCGAACTGTCGCCACATTTCCGAGGCTGCTGGTGGGGTCCGCGGAGTGAGGCGAAACCGCGCAGATCTAGGACGGGGAACCCTCGCCGTCCCTGGGGGGGCTCGCGATCTGCAAAACATTTGCGATCTGCAAAAATTGTCGCCACTTTCGAGGGCTGCTGGTGGGTCCAGCGGAGTGAGGTACCCGGCAGATCTGAGCGGGACCTCGCCGTGCCTGGGGGGCTGCGATCTGCGAAAGTGTTCCCACTTTCGAGGGCTGCTGGTGGGTCCTGCGGAGTGGGGCACCGCGCAGATCTGAGCGGGACCTCGCCGTGCCTGGGGGGCTGCGATCTGCGAACTTGCCGCCACTTTCGAGGGCTGCTGGTGGGTCCAGCGGAGTGAGTCACCGCGCAGATCTGAGCATGACCTCGCCGTGCCTGGGGGGCTGCGATCTGCGAAACTGACGCCACTTTCGAGGGCTGCTGGTGGGTCCTGCGGAGTGAGGCACCGCGCAGATCTGAGCGGGACCTCGCCGTCCCTGGGGAGCTGCGATCTGCGAAATTGTCGCCTTTTTCGAGGGCTGCTGGCGGGTCCAGCGGAATGAGGCACCGCGCAGATTTGAGCGGGACCTCGCCGTGCCTGGGGAGCTGCGATCTTCGACCTGTCGCCACTTTCGAGGGCTGCTGGTGGGTTCAGCGGAGTGAGGCACCGCGCAGATCTTAGCGGGACCTCGCCGTCCCTGGGGAGCTGCGATCTGCGAAATTGTCGCCTTTTTCGAGGGTTGCTGGTGGGTCCTGCGGAGTGAGGCACCGCGCAGATCTGAGCGGGACCTCGCCGTCCCTGGGGGGGGCTGCGATCTGCGAAATTGTCGCCACTTTCGAGGGCTGGTGGTGGGTCCTGCGGAGTGAGGCACCGCGCAGATCTGAGCGGGACCTCGCCGTGCCTGGGGGGCTGCGATCTCGAAATTGTCGCCACTTTCGAGGGCTGCTGGTGGGTCCTGCGGTCCGAGGCACCACGCAGATCTGAGCGGGACCTCGCCGTGCTTTGGGGGGGCTGCGATCTGCGAAATTGTTGCAATTTTCGAAGGTTGGTGGCGGGTTCAGCGGAGCGAGGCACAAGGCAGATCTGAGCGGGACATCGCAAACCTTGGGGGGCTGCGAGCCTCACGAATGCCGCTCGCAGAAGTATATGCGCCCATGTCACGTCATCACCTCCGTATAACGTCTCCCAAGCTACTCATGCCCCGCATTGCGCAGGGGTTGGGTACGTCGCCAGGGTAATTTTCAGTGCTTTGCCTATCGGCGCGGGCCCTCGCACCCCCCCTCGCCCCCGGGAGCAGATTTTGGCTGTTTCGGGCGCCTCTTTCAAGTAGGTGGAGTCTCTCCCACAGGACGCACTGTTACAAACAGTCGCATTTAGCAGAGGCCCGGAGCCAGACCCCCCCCCCTTCCGCCCAATGTCGAAACGCCGAATCCGACAACGGTTACTAAGTCGGGTATAGCCAGGGCCCCGAGTAAGGGGACTCGGTTAGTAGTTAGTGGTAGGGCCCCAGAGTCTCTGAACTGGCCAGACTCGCTAAACCAGGTCTGCCGTAGCTGGTGTTTTTTTCGGGTGACGGCAGTTCCGGTTAGTGGAACGGGGCGGGGGGGGCGTCCCTCAGTACACATCGCTGAACCAGGTCCCATTGATAGGGGAACAAAAAATGACATAAACATAACAACTCAGAGGTCCGCGCGGATTTCTCGGATCCGCGCTGGGGCCTCCCGGCGGCGCCTCCGGCGCCGCCCCTGGCGCGCTCCGCGCGCCAGGGAGGGGGGTCCAGCGCCGATCCGAGAAATCCGCGCGGACCTCCGAGTTGTTATGTTTATGTCATTTCTTGTTCCCCTGAGAACCCAGTGTCGCCAATGCCCGACTAAGAAGCCTTCCCCGCTCCCCCTGCCCCCCCTTGTGCGCGCCGCCAACCGCCCTCGCGGCTCTGCCGCGGCGGGTGCGGGGACGCCCACCTGCCTGCCTGCGCGGGCGCGCCTCGGACGCAGGAGCGCGAAAACGGGCGGACGGTCGAGGTTCGAGGACAGTCGTCTTTGACAGCTGTTCGCCCGTCCTGGGCATCTTCGCATCTTCACGCCCTCACCACGACGACGAGGACGACGAGGGAGGGAGAGGGAGGGGGAGGGGGAGGGAGAGGGGGAGGGGGAGGAGAAGGAGGAGGAGGAGGAGGAGGAGGAGGAGGAGGAGGAGGAGGAGGACTGACCGACGAGGCCCGGGAGGCGGGGGCGGAGGTGGAGGCGGAGCACAGAGGAGGGAGGGGGCGGAGGCGAGGAGTGGCGGAGGAGGAGGAGGAGGAGGAGGAGGACGACGAGGCGGAGGCGGGGGCGGAGGTGGAGGCGGAGCAGGAGGAGGAGGAGGCGGAGGCGGAGGAGGCGGAGGAGGAGGACCAGTGTAAACCCAAGAGTCACCAACGATGTTGGAGCAAACCCTCCCTCCAAGCTCCCTCTACACAGGCCCCTACAACGCATCTTTTCCACAGAGGGAACTGCCTCGTTGGAAGACAGCCGTTTGAAGACCCTGACGCATGCCAAATCATTGTTCTCGGGATTCCAACGCCACGGATCACCCTGACTGTTGCGTCTTGACGATCCGGAATCGTGCCAGAACGGCATATGGGGACTTCAACGCCGCGAACCAACGCAATTAATTGTTGCATCTTCATAATCCTGAATCTCCAAAACGCAATTTCTGATTCGTTGATCATGGGGATCCGTGAAACTGATCCGTGAACTGTTGCGGCGCTAAGGCGAGACCCACATAAAAAAAACGGGTCGCCCTCAATCTGCGGAGGTCTTGCAAAGTTAAACGAGTGTGCGCGGCGCTAAGGCAAGAGCCACATTGTGAAAACGACCTGCCCTCGATACGCGAAACTCTTGCGAATGCTCACAACGAATGTGCGCGGCGCTGAGGCGAAAGCCACAGTTTGGAAACGGCCCGCTTTCTATCCGAAATCGTCTTGCAATTTTTTGAGACAAAGGCGCGCGGCGCTAATGCGGGGGCCACATTTCGAAAACGACCCGCCCTCCGTCTATGAAGCGGTCGGTCATTTTTAAGCGTCGGGATCATAAATCATAAGGACGTCTCAGACAAAACGCCCGGCCCGCCCTAAAAACAGTTCGGGGTGCGGCAAGGAGAAGTTGTTCATATGGAAAAGGATTGGATGAGGAGGAGGAGGAGGAGCAGGAGGGGGAGGAGGAGGAGGAGGAGGAGGAGGAGGAGGAGGAGGAGGAGGAGGAGGAGGAGGAGGAGGAGGAGGAGTAGGCCCCTCCCCCCAAGCTCCCTTTTCACAGGCCCCTATAACCTTTCATTTCAACAGAAAGAAATGCCTCGATTGAAGACTGAAGCATGCCAAAACAGTGTTCTCGGGAATCTGGCGCCACGGATCAACCTGACTGATGCGTCTTGACGGTCCCTGAATCGTGCCAGAACGCCATTCTTGGGACTTCAACACCGCGAGTCAACGTAACTGTTGCACCCTCAGAATCCTGAATATTTCCCAAACGCTGTTTCTGGTACGCTGTCCATGGGACGCCGTGGAATTCTTGCCTTCTTGCCATTTTACCAACACATGTGCGCGGAAGCCAGAGCCATATTTCGGGAAGGAGTCACCCCCCCTAGCTGTTAAGCTTCTGCAACTGTTTGAACAAGTGTGCGAGGCGCTGAGGCGAGAGCCACTTTTTGAAAACGATCCGCCCTCAATCCGCCCTCAATCCGTAAAACAACTAATGCGCGCGGCGTAAAGGCGAGAGCCACATGTTGAAA